TCCAGCCCCTAACAACTATGAAGCTTCCATTTCTCATTGAAGTCTGCCAGCACTTTTGTGTCTGATTTCTGGCTTGATGTGGTGTTACTTATTTCTAGGGTGGGCGTGTTAAATATCACCTGGAATTCAGGGCATTTCTGTTGTTGCTCAGCAGTTATGAAGAACCATTTAAGGTGTGTACAGTCTCAAATCAGCATGCACTGAAACAGAAATCCTTCCCCTAGGAACTACTTCATGTGACTTCTGTTACACTTGCAGTGGCCAGAATTAAAATGGTTCTCCTGGGGCTGCACCTGTTTGCCTCACCTAGTTTTAAAGAGCCACCTACCACAAAAGCATGCCAGGAAAGGTCTGGAGAGCTCAGTGGTTGCTGCACAATCATAGGCACTCAAACCATTGCTTTAATTTGATGCTTCAGCTGAAGTTAAAGATGTAATTCTGTCTGCAGATTTGAACTTATTTGCAATAAGCAAACAATGATAAATAATATTCTTGAGATCTGGTCCCGCTGATGTCAAGTGCAGTTGTGTAACAAATATTTGAGGAAATACTGAACCTGAATATAAGACTCAGGTAAACAGTTTGAAGCAAGCCCCCTGAATTTGAATTGCAGCACTCAATATCAAGATCCTGATCTGGCCAACATTTTCTGCAGCAGGCCGGTCTGAAGAAGTTCATCCATTCTGGAAGAAAAGCCCCAACATTAAAAAGGGAGCTATCTTACGAGAGCTGGCTGGGAAAAGCAGATAGAACTGTAACTAAAGACCTGTCCTTAGTTACTCCAGGTCATTTCAGCTATCCTCAGGTACAGAACTATAAAAAAAAAAAAAGTAACATAGCAGAGAGGCTCTTTAGCCCCCTAAGCCATATGCTTAATAGGGGTCAGCAACATTTTGCAACATGGTGGTAACGCTTTGCTACTTTATTGGAGTTTAGCTCTAAGTGCAGGTCACTTCCAACTTGCCCCGGGCCAATGCTACTGGAGCCATGGTAGCTGCTCCTCCCCTCAGTGCCCCAGTGCTTGGCCTCCGCACAGCTAAAGGCCTTCCTCCCCTCTGCTCCCCATCCAAACACCACCAAAGCCACCTGCTACCAAAATGCTACAGAAGCCTTCCAGCTCCATGGACCAGATAAAATGGTTCCACTGGCCAGATCTAGCCCATGGGCCATACGTTCCCACACCCTGTGCTAGAACATGTCAAGATTGTGGGCTAGAGGTGCCTCTGTGCATGTCCATAACTGTCCCAGTCTTAACAGGACTGTATTGCTTGGCACGTATTTCACATCTAAGCACAAACAAGATCCAGAAAGGTGTTCCTTTGCTTAACTGCCCTGAGGGGCAACATCCAAAAGGGATTCTTAGGGAATGCTGACCATATACCAACAGGCAATAAAATACAGCGATGAAGATGTCTTCTGGGAAGCATTCAACCAGGAATTGGGAGACAGGCTAAATTCTCTATTTAATCTGAAAGGATTGAAACAGACACCTACCTTCTAGAATAGTGCCTTAACCAAGCTTTAGACTATTTTGAATGGAGGACAATTTCTACCCAACGTTTAAAGTTGTGACACTGTGTAGAAGGGAATTCAGACTGAGAACGAGACAAAACCCAAGAGAGAGCATGACTGCAGCTTAGGAGTTAGGTCACTCACCTGGGGAATGGAAGATATGAACTTTCATTTCCAATATTATTTTATGTGACAGTTATTGGATAAAATACAGTTATTGCAGAAGCAGGTACTGAGACCCAGGATTTTCCTTCACCCCCCCAATGTAAGCATCCTAATCAGTAGGCTACAGTCATGGTTTTTCCCCTTACACCCTCACCCTAGCTCTATGGTTCCGAAATCAGTAGGAATATTGGAGAGTGCAACCCTCCTCCAAACAGCCCAACACTTGGGTGTTCAGGTGTTCTCTGGGGTGGAGTGGGATGAGAAATGTGGGTTTGAATTCCATCAGGCTGAGGGGATTACATTTTTTAAATATCTAGATAAGTACTCTTGACTACTACGTAAGGGGTAAGCAGCAACTCCAACAGCACCAGCCATGCTCAAAAGGGAATTAGCAAGTCCAACTTAGTTCTCTGAACCTTAAGAGGATTCTGAACCCTGGGTCCCAAATGAATTGAGGCACCTCCATGAAGCTCTAGGTGAAGCCCATAAGCCCCAGGGAATGAAATCTAAAACCTACCTGACCTCAGCATTTGCTTTTTTCCTAATTCTTGGCAGCTAAACCCTGAGCAAGCTCCCTGCTCAGTAGGCTAGCTGTTGTGGATCCCAATGAGGTGCCTACCTTTTCCACATACTGTCTAGGAAGACAAGGCACTTTCTAGGACTCTGGATTCTACTCTGAGCCACATATGTGAAAGTAAGACATAGCAATACTTTTAGGCACTTAAATCCTCTGTTTGGACTAGCCTTAAATGTTTAATGCAGTCATGCCATGAGACAGCTGCATAAATCCCCAGCCATGCGCTCCAACCACTGCACATCACTGCAGATTTTTCTATTCTAGAGCCATCTGAAGTTGCTCAGAAACCTAGTGCCAATGAAATGTGGACTAACATAGGCAAGTGGAAAGTCTTAGGGGGCCGGGGTCTTGCCTGGCTTATTATTGAACATTTTACTGCCTCTACTTTTTGTTAAAACAACCTGTGGCTATCTGCTCTTCAGGGAGGGAGAATAACATTGGTCTAGTAAAACAAACCTCTACAGAGAGTAAGCATCAATCCTAGCATATACAGTGCCTTGATGGATCCATTTTGTGAAATACTGCAAAGGAAAGAACATGCAAATGTGGTACACATTGACCCTGTTGTTTATAAAGAAAGATCCAGATACAATCCACTGTCAGAACAAACAGACACTGTAGAAGAGAAGTGAAGCAGAGCACGACAGGATCATAATACTTGCTCTTTATAAATACTACTCGACACTTTACTGATTAAAAAGTGCCATACAGCCATTACCCAGTTCATCCATCTTGTTTGTAATGACTGATGCGTAAAATAGGTAATAATATTATCATCTCCTTCCCTTTCCCAGACTTCATTCCAATGCTACATGCCATGGTTACGCAGGATAACGACATGTGACTGGCTGACTATCCTGACAGGCATGCTGACTTTAGTGATAGAGCAGGAGGTTAATGACCAGGAGTAGTGGCAGCATTTGAGACCAGGATATGTCCCATTGTGCATCCTGCTATCTAGCAAGATATACTTTAAAAGGGGAAAACTTTGAAATTCTTGGCTTCTGTTATGTACTCTACAGAAAATGGGCAAAACATACAGGAAAAAAAAGCAAGCTGGGGTATTGAGATGGGGAAGGAACAGAGACGTGGAGAAATAGAAGGTTGAAGAAGTATAAAAGCAACAAGGAAGAGAAAATGGAGCTGGAGGAACCAGAGAAGTAGCCATAGCAAGGGACTGATGTGTTCGGAGAAAAAGAGAGAAGCAGTGCCCAGCAGGGACCTCCTTTTCCCCAGTATCCTCTTGTGATCCAGAGGTGTGGAAGGGAGACTATCCAGCATGAGGCGATTGTCACAACCCAAAGTTGTGATTTTTTTTGTTTGTGTGTGCTTCGGCACTGCTAAATTATTTTCCCGCTAAATTGCAGCTTCTTTGCACGGTGGAGTTTTCTGCTGCAGAGGAGAACCCCGGTGCAACGGAGTATTCCCGCCAAATTTGTAGCTTTCTTTGCATGGTGCATTTCTTTTGCATCCAGGAAATGCATGGTGCAAAGGAGTTCCCGCCATTTGTATGAAGATTCGTGCCACATTATTGGTCGATTCTAATACATGCACACGTGGCGGCTAGCGGTTGGCTTGCTAGCCATACAAAGAGCTTGGGTGGTTTTCGCCCAAGTTGGAGAGAGAGCAATTGGAGTTCGAGAGGGAGAGCGTGAAGATCTCTAAGCGCTGCGGATCCTTACAGACTCAACGCTTTTCTTAAAAGGCAATAGAGGCCTGATAACCGAACCCGCAGAGCTTCAACAACTCCGGGGAAAAGAACGAACAGCCTCTAGCCTCTCCCCGTCGCCGATAAATTCCTAGACGTTTCCCTTCCTGTACGAGAAACTACCGAACCCGCGGAGTTTCAATAACTCTGGGGCAAAGAAACTACCGAACCCGCGGAGCTTCAATAACTCCGGGGCAAAGAACGAATTGTCGTAGTCCTCTAACGAGGATTTAAGCGGAGCTGAACCTGGACACTGTCCAGCCTACACCACGACCATCTTTGGTGTAAGTAAACAATCTTTAAATCAACCATTACGCGTCCGTGACTAATTCTAGCTCGCCACCGGTCCTCTCCGACCCTGCGTGCCCGGGCTGCTGGCCACAGCCCGCGTACGCAAAGACGGGCCCGGCTCGCACATGGCGACCAGGATGGGATCGGGAGAGAACTCGCACGTGGCGACCCAGGTGGGATCGGGAGAGGGCCCGCACAGCAATGAGGACCTAGGTTGTGCCTTTTTCATTCCATTTAGTTTACAGCTTCTTAACTCAACATGCATTCCTCCACCTCCCCACATCATGAATCTTGTATACTGTTTACTGTCATTGCACTGTTCTATGTGTGCGTAATCCCCCTTTAATTCATCCACAGTTCGTCTGGTCTATTGTGTGCTGTTCTGTGCTTGTACAATGCCTAGCATTCTTACTGGATCCTTTATCACTATAAAAATAAACCTAACTAATAAACCTCAAAATCTTTTGTACCTTGCTTTACTTAAAATGTGTAGATGCATGTCCAGCATCTCACATTATAAGTTTGGATTCTTTGTCATCCATTTTTCCTTATACTTGGTCTGGTCTAAAAGGATCAGTTAATAACTGAGCTGATTTTTAGTTTCATATTGTGACAGAAGAGAAGGCATGTTAGCCTTACACTCCATGCACTGGAAGATGTCTCTTCTTTAGCCAGTATTCAGCGGGGCTATTAAAACTTTACCACATTTTTTACATCCTTTACAATGGCAAAACACAGTATGCTTATTTAAAAAATATATTTTTTCACTATATTATCTGACTCTTGTTGGAAAGAAGTAGTGACTTTGGAAAGAAATTCACTATTTTTTAGCCAAACTTGATATTTTTGATTATTTCCTTGTCGTAAATCTTCTAAAAATTCTGCTTTAAGTTTGTTGAGTTCTTCTGCTAGAATCTTCATCTCACTTGAGAGAGAATTTTTATCTAAAAAGGGAAAAGAAAAAAAATGACAAACTCTAGTTGTATTTTCATACATTTGTAAGCTTCAAAGATCTTACAAATGCCAAACTTTAATGGGGCCTCTCAGGAGAAGTTATACATGCTTGTTAACAAAGCTGGACCCTTTTTATCATTTACATCTGTGGGAATTTCAAAAGTTTTAGCCTGTTGTTACCAGTTTTGCAACTTGCATGGAAGAATGCCAACGCATGCTTTTGTAGTAGTGTTGTTGTAGCCATGATGGTCAACAGACAAGGTTTGTGAGGTGAAATAATATCTTAGATTGAACAAACTTTATAGTTAGGACAGATGTTAGACAAGCTTTTAAGTATAAAATGGCTTTCCACATTTCTGGAAAAGAAGCAGACACAGCTTCAGCTAAATATCAGTTAGAACAATTACCTTTTGCATCCTTCATTGTTTGAGAAATAATTCGTCTGAAAGTCTGATCAGCTTGATGGAGGATACTGGCTGCACAGATTGCTCGATCTGCTGCCTGTTCAAGATTAAAAGTTATGCTTAAGAGTAGAAACGCAAAAAGTCTAAGTAGTTTGAAGTATTCATTATTCAGGGGTAGGCTGTGGCCTTTAGCAACAGCCCTGTTTTGGGAGAAATATGGAATTACAAATTGACATGCTGAGGCAGTACTACTGTTGCTCTTGGAGAAAAAAGGAAGGAACAACAATTGATGATACCCATTTCATGGGAGGCCAGGAGGCTATTAACTTCTTAATGCAGCCAGACAAATCTATAACAGAATACATTCAGAGGATGCTAAAATACTGGCCAGATGTTTCAATTTAAGACTTTGTGGTACAGACCATGTATTTCATGCCACAGAGAAAACAACTCATTACACATACAATTCTTTAACTCTATGCTTTTGCTAGTAAGAACTGAGATAGATATTTTTTCAGGTTTTGCCCATGAGTGAACAGAGTATAACTTATAAATGAATAGTAAATTAATTCCATATAATAGTTTATTATATGTATCATATTGTCACATAATTCAGTATATTATGCAGAGGGCCATGTGTTTACAGACATGTAGTGTACCTTTTGCTCAATATTTCCTTCAATTTGTTTCACTGGATTTTTCAAAGCAGTAACCAACAGGCTGATTACCTGTAAACTAAGAAAAAAAATTAAAATGTTATCAAAGCAGTTTTACTGAAACTGTTTTTCTTATGTGGCAAAATCATATGATAATATACTGCCACATAAACTAGTTAATGCTCAGTTAAGACTGCCAAGTAAAGTACATAATCCTTATAATGAAAGATAGATGACAAGAATATTACAATTAATAAAACATAAACTTTAAAATTACGGAAATCATTAGTTAAGGTAAATTATATAAATATTCTATCAGTATTACAGCTTAGAAATTCAGTTAATGCTAGAGCTGACATTTGAAAACACACAATAGTCATTCCTAGCAACAGTCCTAACTCTGGACTACACGCTTATAAATCCTTTCAAAATATACAATATCTAATTATATAATTTACCAGGTTTTGATATGTATATAAGAATTTCAGTACAACAACATACTTATCTTCTGAAGTGTATTCAAGCCCTTTCAGAGTGAGGCTATTTTGTTCCCAGGTATTTTTATCAAGATTTGGTGCTTCTATCTTTTTTGCCATTAGACATATGATCTCGTCAGGTAAGGGCTGACTTCTCGCACGATTCCTCTGTAAACAGCATTCAAGTGGACAGTCTAAAAATAACTGGCAGAAGCCTAATGAATCTAAAACAATGAAAACAAGTATTTTTGAAGAAAACAGAAAATTTAAAGTGTAAAAGCAATACTTTTCAAACACGTGCGAGGAAGCCTTTTCATGAAGTAGAAGTTACTCATACCGCAATACGAAAAAAAAGATAACGATGGTCTTAAATGGCAAAATACTGAACTATTAAATAAAGGGAAAGCAAAGCAGTTAAACTTCACTGAAACCGCAGTGTCATTATTCTTGCCATACCACAGAATGTCTGGAGTATTCAAACACTGCATCAATGCATAGAAAGACCATAAAAAATTACATTTGCGAGCTAGCTGGTATACTTCGTATCTCATGCTTTGATAATAAAAGTTGTCATCCAAAATGAAACACAGTGGTCTGGAAGCGGTGGCATTGATCACATAACGACAAGATTTAGCATCAGGTACGTCTGGAGATATTAATCCTTGTTCTCTGAAGCAGGAAACAAAACGTTCCCAGGTGGCTTCTGTCCTGCTTGCTGGGGCAGACAGGGGATCCCCATTAAGAAGAGCCTGCAGGAAATGTTCAAGGTATACCAGCAGTTCCTGCCGGTATGATTTCCAATGCGACACCTAGGAAATAAACAAAATGTAGTATGTTTAATATGAATGCCTACTTTACAAAAATATCAGTGGCTGTTGGGAGGGGGGAGCCCAGTCCTCTCACCCTTATTACAGCCTCAGAGAGGTAGAAAGGACCTTGGGGGCTTTGTGCCCAACCCACACACCAGTCTGCATCTCCTTTTCTTCTTTGACTTCACGCGTGTCATGTGCCCCTAACCACTCTGCTGCCCATCCAGTCAGTGTCCCAAGCTCTCCCCTCCTGAGAGCTTCACTTGTGTGGTGAAGGCCCCAATGCAGCAAAGTACCAGGCGCAGGCAATACTGGTGCCTACTTCTAAGGCAGGAGGTGAAGGCTGTCTTTCATTCCCTTTATTTCCTATTATTCAAGCAATAATATTGCATTTACACTTCTATTTTATGTGAATAATAACTGTGTTTTAAAGGGTTATCTTGTTACAATCATTTAAACAATTCTGTATAGGTAGAGATCAGTATATTTCTCAGGATTTCAGTGGCTTCAAGGCTGGAAGGGGCCTCAAGACACCATCTACTGTAGAGGTAGCCCAGTCTGTCAGCCTGGAGCCAGGCAGGGGGCACCCCACAGACTAACTGGTTACAGGTATGCTGGGTTTTTGGTTGTGCCCGTGTTGGTCTAAGGACATTGGCAGGCAAGGTTCTTTGGGTAGATCTTTTATTAGACCAACTGAGTAGTTAGGGTTGCCAACCCTGTTTGAATCTATTCCAGGTTTCCAGAATGGCACCATGCCCACGACACACAACACGAACGTGCCCACTTGCTGGAATATATCATTTATGGATTACAGTGGTCTGGAGGCGGTGGGATTGATCACATAACAACAAGATTTAGAATCAGGTACATCTGGAGATATTAATCCTTGTTCTCTGCAGCAGGAAACTTCATGTCAGGAAGGCAAATGCGCATTACTATTATATTTAAAAAACCCACTGGAATACTGTATAAATCAGATTCAACGTTTACTAATTATTTTAACGAATGCTCTATTATTTATCGCCCCAGGTGACTCTCAGCAGTCGCCCGGAGATTTATATCTAACTCCTGGAGACTCCAGGGCAATCCTGGAGGGTTGGCAACCCTGTGAGTAGCTGGAAAAAAAGTTCTTAGCAAGTTTTGGTGCAATCACCCTTTTTCAGGCATGGGGAGTCTCTGCTGTTCTGCGACCCCAAGGAATGAGAGAACTGAAAAGTGTGGCAGGATATCAGCGAGGATGTAAGTGGGTGGAAATGAGGAAAACAAAAGGTAGAGCAGGGAAGGGGAGGGAAGCCAATGGTGAGTAAAAAGAGACTCTACAGTGGTAGTAATGCAAGGCAGAAAAGAGGCTGTCTGTGAAAAAGGAAATAGCTGGAAATCAGGAAGATTAGGAAATAGGAGATGGGCATTAGGAAAGGAGAGGAAGTGGGGGAAGCGTCAGAGGTCAGGTCTGGCAGGTGTCTCACTGATGTCCCATCACAGCCACGCAAAGACCCGTGCCAGGTCGCAGGTCTGGGTGCTAGTCTCTTGCCACAGCCCCTGCCCCACGCACAGGCGAGGGGGCGGTCACAGGTGAGCTGCACTCCCCGCACCTCCCCTGCAGGGGCCGCCCTTCCGCGGGAAATAGGCGCTACCCAATAGGAGGGAGGAAGTTGATACCAACCAATGGGTGATCTCGTTCAAGCCCCGCCCCCGGCAATGATTGGCTGAAAGCCTCCAGCGGAATGAGGTCATCGTAGTTAAGGCGGAAGCAGTCCCAGTCCCAGCCTCTCTGCTGCTTCAGGCGCTGCGCTAGCGTGGACTTGCCCGCTGCGGGCAGCCCGCACAACACGCACAGACCCAGGCCCCGCGCCGCGCCGGCCTCCGGCCGCTGCATCTTACACGGCGTTTGCTTCCCGGCCAGGCGGCTTCCGTGCGCATGCGCAGATTGTTGCAGCGCCTTCGTGCTGTCTTTACTGCTTTGTGACGTTTCAGTGACGTTACGAGGGCGGGGTTCTGAGGGGCGGGGCTTGACCAGCTGGCAGGGGCAGTTTCCCGCGTTCCTGTCTTGGCAGCGTTCTGTTAAACGGTGTTTGTTCCTCTTAACCGTTTAAACGCACTCTGACATGGCTCACTGCTGCCCAAGTACACCAACATCAGCAGCCTCTGTGGTTTGCCACAGCCTCGGCTCCCTCTCAGCCATTTCTATGAGGGAACCCTGCCCTCAGAGGAGCAGGATCCTCAGACAGATGCAGTCAAGCTGCCCGGCATGGCCGTTTAACGGACATAACTGCCCGCAAAATGTGGGTTTGACTCATTCAAAAATACCTAACGTGCCAGGTGGGGACCAGGCTCTCTCTCTCAGTGAATCTCGCATGGTTTCAGGAGTTTTGGTCGACAGCGCTCAGCACTACATGCTACATGCATTGCGCAGTGGTGTGCTGGGTCGTGCAATCCATGTTGAGGGGAATTTAGCATGGCCACGTGTGGCAAGACTCACCACAAGTGCAAGCTTTATTCTCACACAAGTTAACCCGTTAGTCACGCAATTGGTTTAGAGCAGCCACACGGGCAAAGTAATTACCACAGGACACACACGACCCTATCCAGCTACAAGAAAAGCCAGCCGGCTAGAACTAGTCCTTGAAAATGCGTAACGACTCCATAGTGGGTTTCTATCCAGTTTTAATTTGAATGTGTAGCAGGGCCCCCAGACGGAGATGGTGAAGAGAAACAGGTTGCTTAGGCCGCTGGCGAATATTACAGATATTGTGGGACGGGGTCTGATCCCTCGTCCCAACAACTGCACGTCCTGCTGCACCATGGTTACAAAACGGGATGTGCAATTTGGGATATTGAGGCTAGATGCGAACCCCGTGACTGCGGGCAGCGTTTCGAAGAACAGGGCGGCAGAGGTTCCTAGCAGGGCTGGGGTGCAGGGGCGAGGAAAGCGGGGTGAAACCATCCCTCCTGTTGGAAACCTTTGATGTCCTGGGCCCAGCAGCCCTGGCAGAGATGTCGAGCACGGTGTTTAACCTCCTTGGTGGGGGAAGACATTTGAACGTCTGATCCCTCATGCCTGGCAGCCTCGCTGGGGAGTTTGGGTGTGAGGGTTTAAACTCCTCAGCTGGGGAGGACGGGGTGGCCATGTATCCCTGATTTCTGGCACCGGCCCGAGGGCAGCCCCAGCCCTGAGGACCCAGAGCTGTCCACAACTGATTCCAACAATCAGCTGACTGTCAGAAATTAGCTCCAGGCGGCCTTTGTGTGTAGACATGCCACATATTGGTCTACTACTTTTCAACATCTTTATTAACGATTTGGATGTGGGGGTGAAGAGCTCGCTGGCCAAGTTCGCGGATGACGCCAAGTTATGGGGAAGCGTGGTCACGCTTGAAGATAGGCTACAGATACAGGCGGACATAGACGGGCTGGTAAGTTGGGCGGATCGCAACGTGATCAAGTTCAACGTTGAAAAATGTAAAGTGCTCCATCTCGGGACGAGCAACCCCCAACGCACCTACAGGCTTGGCGGCACCAAACTGACTAGCACCACGAATGAAAGGGACCTGGGGGTCATAATAGACCTCTATGAATATGACCCGGCAGGGTGTCCAGACTGTGGAACAGTGGTGACGTGTAGGGGGTGCACGGGGGTGCATGTGCACTCCCTGAGAGTGCCAGTGCACCCCCTGACCGGCCGTGCTCGCCACTTAGGCTTTGGGCACGGGGGGCAGGCGGAAGCACTGGTGCCCCCCTCTGCAAGCACCGACCGATCGCTGCAGCCGCTCCCAGAAGCAGCTGCTGGCACTCCTGGAAGCAGCTGCAGCGTTCAGCCACAGCAGTCAGTACCCTTGGGCAGCGGGATTGGCCGTGGGGGGACCCCCCCGCCCTGGTCGGTGGGACTGGTCATGGGCGGGGGAAGGGGCATGTGTCCCCCCCCCAACTAAGGCAGCACCAGTCACCCATGCTGTGGAATAAGCTCCCTTCAGAGATGGTGCAATCATCTACCCTGGAGATCTTCAAGAGGAGACTAGATAGTCATGTTGGGATCACCTGACCCCCAGTTGTCTTTCCTGCTCAGTGCAGGGGGCTGGATTTGATGATCTTCCATGGTCCCCTCTGGCCTGACAATCTATGAATCTATGTTCAATTTAAGACACCATAAAAGCAGTCATAAAAGTGTTCCTCATTACATGGGGAACATTTTTATGGTGCTTTATATTGGGTACACACGTAGCACTCTTGACATTCATGGAGTACTAATTAAGATGTTAATCATGCCATAAATGTAATGCGAAACAGGTCCCTTAAACTCTACTATAAACTATTTGAATAGATTCATAGATTGTAGAGTCGGAAGGGACCACAATGGATCATCGTGTCTGACCCCCAGCCCCTGGCAGGAAAGAGGACCGAGGTCAGATGACACCAGCCCAGTCAGGTGACTATCTAGCCTCCTCTTGAAGACCTCCAAGCTAGGTGATAGCACCACCTCTTCCGGAAGCCCATTCCAGATCCTGGCCACCCTTACTGTGAAAAATTTCTTCCTAATATCTAACCTAAATCCACTCTCAACTAGTTTATACCCGTTATTCCTAGTCACTCCCTGGGGCGCCTTAGTAAACAGCGCTTCCCCTATTCCCTGTTGACCTCCCCTAATAAGTTTATAGGCGCCACAAGATCTCCCCTCAACCCATCTCTTGTGAAGGCTGAAGAGATTCAGCTCTCTCAACCTCCCCCCGTAGGGTCTATCACGAAGGCCACTAATCATGCGAGTGGCCCTCCTCTGGACCCTTTCGATATTCCTCACGTCCCTCTTGAAGTGTGGCGCCCAAAACTGGACACAGTACTCCAACTGCGGCCTGACCAGTGCCGCATAGAGGGGGAGCATCATCACCTTTGATCTATTAGTCATGCACCTGCTAATGTACAACAAGGTGCGATTGGCCTTGTTGATGGCCTCGTTACACTGCCGGCTCATGTTCATCTTGGAGTCAATTATGACTCCAAGATCCCTCTCTGCCTCCGAGCTGCTGAGAACACTCCCCAAC